CCTATCTCTTTAAGTTTCCGTAGAAAATGCATTTTCTTGTAATTTAGAACTTATTTATCAATATACCCATGGAATATTGACATTTTAGATTATTCTTAAAGATGAGTTCATAAAGCATTCTATTTCCAGTTTTGTAAATACTTTTGATTTCTTTGCCTGATATCCGGAAGCTTTTCTTTTTAAAAATGCAATAAGGTTTGTAAATTTGCTAATATCTACATTGCTGTTCAGGTAAATCGTGGTGCGGAGCATATAATATTTACTCCACAGAGTTGACGGCTTTAAGGTAGTGGATAACTCCAGGAAATAGGCTAGCAATACCTTTTCTGTGAAATTCTCAACATGTCCCATGTCAACAGATGGTCTCGTATAAGTTTTTCCACTCTCGGGCACTAACGTGGATAGCGCAGTTTCAGCAGCTTGTTGAATATCCAAAAACTCGTTATTATCACTCATTTTTTAACAAAACTTTGTAGGAAATACTGCGACGTTTGAACCTGACAGAACTTTGTCATTAAACACTGCATAAACAATGCCTTAGAAACCGATTACCAGAACATTTTAAAAAATGTTTAAAAATAAATAATAATAATAGCATGAAAATCTCAAATTATCCGCTTTCACCAAAAATCTTGTATGAAATTCATTGCGATCATGTTACATAAATAGCTATTGTAGATTTTCTTTTAGTGACAAAAACGAATTATTTTCTAGAAACGAAAATTTTCATTGTGTCTGACTGTACTTACATTTAGTAATACCAAAATAAACTAACTTTTTTCCAATTAACCAATAGATCATTAAGCTTTGACTACACATATATCTACTCACCAATCTTCTGTTTATAACGACTCATATTTCACAGATCTGTTGAAACGTTTTTGTTTAAAAGAAGAAGTAAAAAAATGAGCCCGTTCCTTCGCAGCGGGGTACCGATGGTACCTTTAGGCGAAATACTCGTATACCGGGTGTATAAATAAACCCTGTTGCAATGAAATATCGTGATACGTACCTACAGTGTGGTCCAAAAATGATTAATATGAATTGGCAATAGTTTCAGTTGGTTTCAATAATGTTTATCCAATTTTTCACCTTCCAAACATATTATCCACTCTCATAGATTAGCCGAACTATCTTTTTTTTCTTACGTCTCTTTCTTCTTGTATTTTATTGAAAGAAAACCCCTGGTATGCCTTACTCTAAAGCCTTGCTGATGATGAAACAGCAAGCATAAAATGGAGTGGAGAATCTTAAAGTTAGTTATAGCTCTGATTACAAAATAATGACGGTGTAATGAAGAGAAGAGGTACTCCGAAGAACGGTAGTCATTTAGGACAGTTCGTGCTGACGAAAATTGGGACTAAAGACCTTTTAATTTGGTACTATAAGTGGAGCGCCTGGGGAACGGTTCCCACGAAGAATTAGGTATTAATTTAGACCGTATATTATATCTAGACACGTATAGTTGTATTGTAACCAACATAACTCTTAAAGTAAAATAATTCTTATGAAAGTTTAATATTTTAGTCCAGCTTAATAAAAAGATTTCTTATTCAGACCATATAGGAGTATCATAACTGAATTTACACTTCAGCACTTAAATTCACAGTCAACTGGCACTTTTTAAAACTTCTGTAGTACTTTTAGTAGATCGATCCCACTTCTGATATTAGAATGTAGTTCGTATTTTCCAAATAAAACACTGGATTTTCTTTGTAACTCCTTTATTCCGTCGTATAGTACTCAGGATGACTGGAATCTCTAGGGTTATTCTCTGAATTTTAAATATCTAAATCTTACATACATGTATAATAACGAATTTGTTTCTGTAATATTCTCATTTTAAATTCACACTAATCTATACTCTATACTAATATATAAAATCCTTAAGTGACTGACATACTGATTAATCACGATCCTGCTCAAACCACTCAACGTAAGAAGCTCAATTTTGGTATACAGGTTGATTCTAGGGTGTACCAGGTTCGATAAGAAGGGATTTTTCGAAATTCCAGTTCCAAGAGGGTGAAACCACCCCTCAAATATTACAATATTTTTTATTTAGAAAACGGTTAAGTTTCCGAAAAAACGCTTAAACACGTATATTTTATTTTGTTTTTTTACATATTTTAAGATTTTTTAAAAATGTATACAGGGTGTTTCGAAAAATCTGGTCATTGATTAATCACGATCCTGCTTAAAGCGCTTGATGTAAAAAGCTGATTTTTGGAAAACAGATTGACTTTAGGGTGTAGAGGTTCGATAAGAAGGGATTTTTCGAAACTCGAATTCTAAGGGGGTGAAACTATCCCTCAAATATTAAAATATTTTTTATTTAAAAACCGGTGAGTTTTTGGGAAAAACTCTTAAACAAGTATATTTAATTTTGTTGTTTTACATATTTTAAGATTTTTTATAAATTTATACAGGGTGTTTCATAAAATATGACCATTGAGTAATCACGATTTTGCTTAAACTGCTTGACCTTTAAAGCTGATTTTTGGCAAACGGATTGACTGTGGGGTGTAGAGGTTCGATAAGGCGCGGTTTCTCGAATCTCAAATTCCAAGAGGGTGAAAACGCCCCTCAAATATTACAATATTTGTTATTTAAAAAACGGTTAGTCTTTCGGGAAAACGCTTGGGCAAGCATAATTTATTTGGGTTTTTTTACATATTTTGAATTTTTTTTAAAATTCATACAGGGTGTTCCAAAAAGTTGGGTAATTTCTTAACCACGATTCTGCTTAAACTGTTTGATGAAAAAAGCTTATGTTTGGCAAACGGATTTTTCGAAAGTCAAATTCCAACGAGATGAAACTACCCCTCAAATATTACCAAGTTATATAATGATGTCGCCATATTGTTTTGTCTCATGCTGACATAAATGTGAGAAAATTTTATCCAGTTTGTATGTTAATGGAAATTCTTGCTTTGCTTTATCATCACCAATACAAATGATTAATTCGACGCGAACGAAGTGGCTGATATACGCTAGTTTGACATAAAATCTGAACAAATTTCGGCAGGATTTAGAAAGTTTTTCAAAGAAGCAAGTACCATCGGCACCCCAGAAAGGTGAAAACACACTCTATTAAAGAACTTATTAGTCACAGACCACAAAGTAGGACAGTAGTTGAAAAGGGCCTTTGTGTCGAAAAGTCATTATAGAATTTATGGCGTTTGTGGTTGGAGTACCATTTATATCGACGGCCCTTTTTGAAATATGGTGTCTTTGCGGTTCTTAAAATCGCTGGTATAGCAGCCTTTTAATTATTTTTGAGTCTTTTATATTCGATTTCGGTATGAACCGATTTTAGTACCTGTCAGCAAAATCGAGAGATTAATCTATACTAATATACAAAATCCTTAAGTAACTCACTGATTAATCACGATCCTGCTCAAGCCACTCAACGTAAGAAGCTGAATTTTGGCATACAGGTTGATTCTAGAAGAAGAAGAAGGGATTTTTCGCAATTCCAGTTCCAAGAGGGTGAAACCACCCCTCAAATATAACAATATTTTTTATTTAAAAAACAGCCAAGTTTCCGAAAAAACGCTTAAACACGTATATTTTATTTTGGTTTTTTTACATATTTTAAGATTTTTTAAAAATGTATACAGGGTGTTTTGAAAATCTGGTCATTATAATAATATAATAATCTGGATTAATCACGATCTTGCTTAAAGCCCTTGGCGTAAAAAGCTGATTTTTCGAAAACGGAATGACTTTAGGGTGTAGAGGTTCGATAAAAAGGGATTTTTCGAAACTAGAATTCCTAATCATTAGTCTAAATTAAAATTATTATTTACTACAATTATTATTAGAAAAAAATGTTAATAATATTCAATGAAACTAAATGTTATTAACGAAAATTACAACATTCCTAAGCCGAAAACCACTCGTAAACTTCTTACTGGCTGGAGATTACCAACGCTCCTTATCAACTTAATAAAAAATACGCTATACATCATAAAAATACATAGATAATAGTTAATTGCTTCAAAGGATTCGGTATAATTACTATTTCAGTTAATTTAAGTAGATCCAGTAAATTTTGTCGGTTAAAAAATTCGAGATTTGCGACATAAAATTAAATTAAGCTCATAAAAATAAATCTAATCATAAAATAAGTTGCTTTTACATCATAATTACTACTTTTATTGTTTAATCATTCCCATTATAGAACATCAACATTAAAATTTAAATAGTTTTGAAACATTCTGTTTGTTTTAACAAATTCATTAATTCAAATAAGTTTTTATTAACATACCAGACACTTACTACTATAAAGAAATTATTTACAATTAGTTTAAACAAAGTATTTTGTATTTTAGGAATGTATTTATCATAAAAATTAATTTTTAAATTCAAGCACGAACTTTTACCGCCATCTAACGGCATGTCGCGATACTAAAGCTTTGATTTAAACTGTACAGATGGCGCCACTTTACTAAAGAAGTTTGAATAATTCTTTTTTGTTATTATTGCAATAATTACGTAGTCAATTACAGGTTCAAGTAGTGATTTTAGGTTGAAAGAGTATTTTTTTGCCATTTGTGAGTATCCCGAAATGATTCCTCAAGTGTACTCAGCTTGGTTAAACAAATTAGAATATACATGTACGTATATTTTTTATTGTATTTTTAATAATAAAACTAATATTTTGATGAAGAAAATTTTATTTACCCTTGCGTACGTGCGTCTCATAGAACTGAAAACATAAATATATTTATATACATTCTATATAGGTACTAAAACGAAAACATATTTACAAATACATAATAATACTGTACAAAAAAACACTATTAATCTTTGGCATATCGTGTCATATTGAATACTTGAAGAAATTCTGTTTTTTTCGCCACTGGGTAAGAAATCAACAAAATAAAATTGTTTAAAGAGTTATTTTTTTAACACGACTGCGTTAAATTCAAAGTAAAACCCGTCAAACCGTCAAGAAATGCTTAAAGTTTCAGGAGATATATCTCCTCCATTCGTCAGAAATAAAAACAAGAAAAAAAGAAAAAACTATATAAATATCTAAACACTAATTTTAACAGATCGCCAACTGTCTATAATAGATCTGCTAAAAAATAAATTGTTTTTGAATAGTAGATATCTTGAAACTGTTGTTTCTTTGTGTTTTTCTCCTGAAGCTCCAAGCTTTTTTTGTCGATTAGACAAATTTCTTTTGCTAGTAAAAAGCAAAAAAAAAGATGGATTCCTTTCCACAAATTCTTTCCAGTGGCAAAAAAAACAGAATTTTTGGGCCGATAAGGCATAGACAATACGGAATACTGTTATGCTACAATTTTTGGATTAATAAAAGTTATAGGTATATAAAAACTAAAATTTCAAAGGTAACTATATCATTTTTGACATTAGTATGGAGGTAGTAAGAATGACTCTAACATCGATACGTATAAACACTCTTTGGTATCTATATAATAATAATTTAACATAAAAACAAATTCGGCAACCAAGTTATCTTTTCATGATGTCTTCTATCGTGAACCCTAATTTTTTAGGTTTCTCTGAACTATTTTTGCAAGGCTCCTTATCTTCTTTCTTCGACAAATCCAACAAGCTGATGTTCTTCTCCATTTCCACAGTCGTATGAGCCTCCTCTCTTCTGATTTCATCCTTCTTCACACCACATTGGTAGATTTCGTGGTTATTTAACTCATGGAAGGATACGAAGAATTTCTGACACCTGGAACACTCCAGAGGCCTCTCTGTGTGAACCAGGAAGTGTGTTTTGAGGTTGGAACGCTGATTGAACGCCTTGGAGCAAACGGAACACTTGTGAGGTGACTCTTCCATGTGAAGGATCTTGTGGACTGCTAGTGTTCTGGATTGGCAGAAGCCTTTTCCACATTCTGTGCATTTGAAGGGTTTTTCTTTTGAATGGATGTATCTGGAAAAGAATATAATTTTATATATGTATATATAAAAGAATTAGATATGAGCAATAGAATCAAATGACTTTAATTACAATTATTACTAAAAAGAGTATACCGGGTGTTGCATCGTCGAGCGGGACATAGGAAATCCCATGTAAATTTTAATGGGGTCAATTATTGGCTTCCCTAATTATTTTGGAGAATAATTCTATTTAGGTTTATTGAAGAGCACTAAAACCCACATTCAAAAGAATAACTTTAGATATTTTTGATTAGCCCGTTTACGAGTTATCAAATGAAGTTGTCATTTCAGAAATTTATCTATTTAGTGCTTTATTATTATTATTAAAAACTCATACCTACATCGAAGATATTAGCCATGAATTCTAAATTTTTTGAATTTGAAAAAGTATAGATGATTAAATGGTATTATCAAGGATCAAAAGGTGTCGGACATGTTTGCTGCTCTGTATCCGAATAGACCAATACCTGGAAAATCTACAATCGCAAGGAATATCCAGAGATGCTATGAGAGACCAAAGGTACTATAATAAAAAACTGCTGATATGAAGCAAGGTAGGAACAAAGAGAAGATGCAAGAAATGATACCGACTTGGAAGTTTTATTGTGCGTGGAAGAGAACGATGGAAAGATCAGCACAAGGAAACTTGAGGATGAAATAGGAATAGATCACACTACAGCGTTTCGAATTTTGAAACCACATAAATATTATTCCTTCAAATATGAAAAGCACCAAGAGCTACGAGATGGGGACGAAATACGGCAGCAGGCGTTTTGTTTTGATATGATGGAAAGAGCAAACACGGATAGGGAATTTTTAAAAACATATGTTTCACTAACGAATGCACGTTTACCTTAAATAATGAACCCAATGTTCAAAATTATCGATATTGGAACAAAGAAAACCAACACAGGTTTGTCGAAACAAGGACGCAATATCCACAGAAAGTAAATGTTTGGGCAGGGATATTCGGACACAATATTATCGGGCTATTATTTCTTACGCGAAATTTAAATGCAGAATAATATTGGAACTACTCGAAAATCATATTTTACCTGCTTTACATGATGCCGCTAGGGGAAAATCAGAAAGTTTGGTACCAAATGGATGGCCGCCCGGCACATAGTACCCTGGCTGTTCAGGAATATTTAGACAATAGTTTTAACGGAAACGTTATTGGCCTAAATCATACAGTAAATTGGCCAGCAAGGTCTCCTGATATTTCTCCAAATGATTTCTTTCTCTGGGGCCATTTAAAAAACAGGATATACAAGGATAAAAAATACCCAAATCTAGACGAGTTAAAAAATGCTATTTCTGCCGAATGCAATAGAATTTCAGTTTACCAACTAGCGAATGTAAGAAGATATTTTTATGATCGCCTGGGTTATTGTCTAGCAGTCGATCGAGGAATATTTGAACATCTTAAATCCTAAAGTTGTAACAATTTAATAGTACCTAAATTAATAAGTTATTGAATATTGTAATAATACTATAATTAACTTTGTAATTGATTACTTTAATTTACTTTAATTCATATTAATTTGTATTTATAAATACATCTTTAAGATTTCCGATGTAGGAATGAGTTTTCAATAATAATAAAGCACTAAATAGGTAAATTTCTGAAATGACAACTTCATTAATTTGACAGTTACCTTTTACCTTGACTGGTGCTCATAAGTAAATACAGGGCCATAAGAAAGGAGGAATATTTAAAAAGAAATCGGCGATAACGCGTAAACGAGCTAATCAAAAATATCTATAAAGTTATTTTTTTGAATGTGGGTTTTAGTGCTCTTCAATAAACCTAAATAGAATTATTCTCTAAAATAATTAGGGAAGTCAATAATTGACCCCATTAAAATTTACATGGGATTTCCTATGTTCCGTCCGACGATGCAACACCCGGTATAGCTTAATATTTTTGAAACAAGCTGTTGATTATTGGTATTTGGTGTAAATAAAAATCACTCGTTGCTTTACTCTTTTGTAAATAATAGAGAATATAAGTTTAGGTTTCTTAAACAATTAACAAAATTAATTTAAACAAAAAGAACTTAAAACAAGTACTATCTTGTATTACCTGTGATCTCTCAAATGATCCTGCCTCCTGAAAGCTTTCCCACAAATGTCACAACTGTAAGGTCTCTCATCCGTGTGAGTTCTTTCGTGTATCAACAAATTATAGCTTTTAGTAAACTGCCTGTTACAGTACTTGCAAATAAACTGCTTCTTAGGTCTGGCATTCCCTCCCATCTTGGGACTCGAAGGAAACAGTGCGTTTGGCCTAACAGGTACTCTCCTATAATCAGAAATCGGGTACCTAGACGGATGGTACATAGCTGCCGCGTTCCTCAGCCAATGGCTCATGATGGCAGGGGTGTAGGTCGGATGAAAGGGTACCAAAGTTCCTGGTACGGTGGGTGGAAGACTGCCAGGAATGGGTTGCATCCTGGGTCCTGGATAGTAAGATCTTTCCGCCATTTTGTCTATGGCTGTTTGGTACCAGTTGTTGTTGTGGTTCTGAAGGGGTTCTGAGCAGAACTGGGGAGGTGAATGCTGAGTGTATGTAGGGGTGTGAGGGGGTGTAAGAAGAGGTGAAGTTGAAAAATCGGCTTCTTGCTTGATTCTGGTACCGTGAAGTTCTGGCGGTATTAACACTGAAAAGATACAAAGAAAAATACGTTTATATAATAGTTTTTAAAAAGTAATTAGCAGAAAAATAATTTTGTAACTGTGTATACAGGGTGCGTAAAAAATAGTGTACCAAACTTCAACGGTTGATTCTACAAATATAAATAAAAGAAAAGTTCCTACGAAAATATACTTTACAAGGAAATTATAGTTCTTAAGAGACTACAGATAAAAATAATATATTTAGTTATTTTTAAGAATATTGGTAAACTGTTTTTCTTGAAATTTGACATTCTTACACATATTTTAATGCCAAAAAGAGTACATTCCACACACGTGTGCAAGTTTATATGATTACATGATGTAAGGGGATCTAAGAATAATAATAAATGAATTAAAAAAGACAAAAAACAAAATAAATATAATTGAAAGAATCTTGTAAAATAAAATGTAAAAATTTCGATATTTTTCTGAATATTTTTCTAAATTTAATAAAAAAAATTAGAGCCACTTGTTCATGATATACTGTAAGTTAAAAAATATTAAATTGTGACTAATGATAACCAGTGTCAAACCTGTAAAAACTGTAAAAATTTAATAATAAAAATCTATAAATGGTGTAAAAATATGCGAAAAAATAAAATAAAAGTTTTATATATACAGGGTTGGTCTTAAATAAGTGCAAATATTTTGGGGGTGGTATATTTCGACCCCAGAAACACGATTACGAGTTTTTTTTTCAAGAAATTTTGTTTTGGAATTTTTTTAGTGTTTAGTTAAAAAACATAATTTCTTGGTAATGTGGCAACATAGGTATTTGATTAAATTTACAAGAAAGAAAACCCAGAAAAAATCCAGTGGTTCTGAAAATTTAAGTAAAAAATATATTTTTTTAATTTTCAAAATAAAATAATAAAATAACTCCGTTATTTTGGATTTATTTCAAAAACGATAAAGAGAAAGTATGTTTCTTTTATCGATATCTACCAGTCCTGAAAATATTTGCGCTTAATTAAAACTCACCCTGTAGGTATAATAAAGCACAGAGACAAAATTAATTAACAAATAAACATACTAACACATATTAAAAATTACCTTGCCAAAAACGGTGTTCTTTTAACCAAGGTTATTTAGTAAAAGGAATACTGCTTGCAATAATGGCATATAGAAATTCTTCGAGAAATTCGGAAGCCACAAAAAACACACAAATAGATAGAGATAAGACAAAATATTCAGAAAAAGGCAGGCGATGTACACTCCTGGACAAAAGTATGGATCCTCAACTTAAATAATAATAATAATAAACAATTTATGCTGCTTTGATATTGGTTTGTATCAATCACAGTTAATTTTGATCATGAGAGCCACCGCTTTGAGAAAATCAACAGATTAAACTGTTTAAAAATTATGTTTTAGTTGAAAACTGAACAAATCAACCAAAATAAACCATATTTTATTGGTCTGTCATATTCTATAGGTCCCGCAGAGTTCATTACTTTTTCTACAATTTTTTTTTCTTAAGAAATACTAGAAAAATTGCAGAAGCAAACCAATCAAACTCGTATTAAAATTAAGAAAAAAAACAGAATCGAGACATAAAAAAGTTTGCATACTGTCACAGGATTGCGCAATCGCTGAACACCTGACATCGCTCCGCCTTCTCTGCTTTGTAAATAGTACCAACAGAGACAACTAGTCATTTATGGTACCAATTTGTGTTTTCAAGAAGACTTGCGCAAGACTAAGACCAAGCATTCAAGACTCTTGCGGTCTTGCATTTTTTTCACCGTTATATCATACAAGAAACTACTTCTTTATTCAAAATGATTGTTCCAATTAATTACAAATAGTGTTTTCTTACAAATAGTGTTTAATTACTTAAAATACTATTTATTTAAAGATTTTCAGTATGTAGAAAGTGCCTTTAGTAAAAATCTATTAAAAAATGCAATACTTGCAAGAGTTTTACAGAAAGACCAAGACCAGGAGAGTGTTTTGGTCTTGTATTTGCACATTAGCGTTGGAAATTGTCAAATCAAAAATGGTTCACTAATAAAAGGCCAGTTTTTTATAGAAATATCATTCAATCAGCCTGTAATGGATATAATTAACCACAGAAATAATATAAACTTGCTTACTATTCAGCATAACTATGTCAGCATCATCAGCAGATGACTAAAACTTAAAAAAAAAACATTTTTAATCATCTGCTGATGCTAACATGGTTAGGAAAACGCGCATCCAGTGCAAAAGTAAAGTATTTTGGTGTATTGTGGTGAATTAGTGACTTATTTTACAAGAAATAACAGTTAACTAATTACTAATAATAAAAAAGTAACAGTTAAACAAAAATTTACAATTTATCTTGCAGAATTACCGATAATATTGGTTTTATTCGATAAAAAAATACTTATTACAGACTCTAAACATATTTCTAGTGTACACACCTCTTTTTGCACATTCTTCATCACTTTCAAACATATTCCCGTTCATATTTATTCAAATAACTCAAAAAAAATCGCACAAAAGTTCTTTCAACGGGCGCGCACAAACTCGAAACCGCCCGTCAACGGCAAGCACAACGCTGTATATTTTGACACTTTCAATTTGACGTGACTGACATGCGTCCAACTCACTGACACAGCAAGCTATGATAAACTGGTGCAAAACAAGCAAGCGGACCACCGTTGCGCGTAGTAGAGCTACCTAACTGTCAGATAGTGAAGTAAAAGTAGCGCAGAGGCGGGGTTTTCGGTAAACCCGGCTCGTTCTCATTGGACGGAAGCGGCGGCTGCTTTTCACATTTTCACCCGTTTCCTGGGCGATGCAGGGGGCGCTGGCGACCGGGGGGTGAACGATAAGGGATGATTTTAAGCGGGGAGCTGAGGTAATTGGGTTAGGGTTGGTTTTTGATGGGGATTGAGGCTTAAAACAGCGAATTATTCGATTCGGAATGTTATTTGAGTCTGTACTGGATATAATTAAAAGGTATAATTCAAATATTGTTGATGTTTAACAAGAAAAAATCCTATAAATCTTGTAACTTTAAGAATTGTTACAGGACAAAGATTATAAATAATATTTATACTTTTGTGGGGAATTTGTTTCTTAAAAAATTGAAATAATACATACAGTTTGCAATTCCATATATACGAGGAGTTTTAGAAAAGATAAGAATGCTTATAGAGGGTGGTCAGAACTGTAATCCGGTTTTGGAGATAGTTTCATTTTTATTTCGATTTTTCCAAATAAACACACCGGAAAAGTCTAGGGATATTACAATTTTATCTAGCCATCGTCAGTAATTTTATTTTTTGCATTTCTGATATAATAAAATTAAAATAAACAAATAGTTTAGAGGACGTATTGGAAATAAAAATGCGAAATTTACCGGATTTTTGAAATTTACCTTGATTTGTATTGAACTCAAAAAAGTACACAATTTTTTTTATTCTAAACTGTGAATTAAAAAAAAAAGATAAAACCATTTTTACTTAATAAAGGGTATAGCCTCCTTTACTGTTCATTACAGCCCTACATCGTCTCTCCATGCTACTGATCAGATTGTCGATATCTTCTTGAGGTACAGCCTGCCACGCTGCATTCACGGCCCGAACCAGATCCCTACGAGTTTCACGAGGCATACCTATTCTCAAAATCTATACCTAAGTATACCTATTCTCAAAAATCATTGGCATATGGTAACACGACAGGCTCAAGAATTAAATCACGGTATGTGATTCCTGTTAGAAACCTTTCAAGAAAAACGAGATCGGTTTTTCGGCCTAACTGGACTCCTCCCCAGGCCATAACTGTTCCACCTTGATAAGGGTGCACTTCCTGAACATAATCCAACCGAATAAGATTTCCTGGTTCTCTCCATACCCTAAGCCTTCTCGAATCCGAATGAATTCCAAAGCGTGACTCATCCGTGAAGAGAACATTGGCCCATTCTTCATTCGACCACTGAACATGATCTTGATCCCACAAATATCGTACCTCTCGATTTCCTCTCGTTAAGGGTTGAGCTCTCCAGGGGCGTCTGCTTCTTAAGTTGACATCTGTTAATCTATTGCGGACAGTATCAGGACTAACGGTTACATTATGTGTTTCCTGGAGAATTAAACTAAGCTCTGGTGCTGTAAGAATCGGTCGGCGTCGAGCACTTAATTGTAAAAAATGATCTTGCTGAGGGGTAGTAATACGATGTCGCCCTGTGTGCATTTCAGTAACATCACCACTTTCACGGTAGCGTGCACTTAATCGCGATATTACACTTTGCGTTGTATTTAATGCTCTAGCTACGTCGATTTGGTGCATTCCAGCTTCGAACATATCGACGGCCCTTAGCATTTCGTCTCTTTTAAGATGTCTACGCTCCATAATGTCGTTTAATACTAAACAGAGTTATTTGAATGAATTCTGACCAGTTATCATAAAAACATAGCCAGTACAGGTTAAATTCGAACAATTGACGCTAGGTACTTTTTATACATTTGACAAAAAATGCACAAACACTTCTGCAAATATCCCAAATTTAGAAATAACTAGTGTGATTACTTCGTTTCAATCGAAGTAGAAAGAATCGGCCTACAAATATGTGGTTGTTTATTCAAAGCATTTATTTTTAACTTTAATAAAATGATATCCCTAGATTTTTCCGGTGTGTGTATATACAGGCCTGGTCGAATATAAAAAGTATTTAAAAAAGGGCGATTTCCACAAATCTAAAATTTGTCAGTATTCATGGAACACAGGGCACACAGTAGACTTGTGAAAAAATTACAATGAAAGTACTGATAGCTTCTAAACAAGAAATAGAAAAAGCTTTCTTAATCCAATCTAATAAAAATAAATGTACTTATTATTGCTTAGGCAGCTGTAGAGGTATGGCAATCGCTTCTTTCATTTTAAAAACATAAAATAAATAAACATATAAGTAAAAATTAAAAATAAACTAAAAATAATTATATTTAAACAGAAAGTATTATTGTTTTCAGGTACCAAGTAATTATTATTTGTCATATAATATCATTTTGAGAGAATGAAATTTTAAAAATACAAACGGTTTGGTTTGGGAAATACTAAAGTTATATTTAGGTAGATATTTTAAATAGTATTTTTCTTTGTCTTTTTTAACGACAGAAGGAGATACAGCTCCTGAAATTTAAACTATTTTAGTAATGAGAATGTTTGAATACTAAGTTTAAGCCACTATAAATTAGAAATAAGTAAACTAACCTGTCAGGTGTAACCAAACTTCATGAATTTATAATTATTTAGTTATTCTAACCAATTCATACAAAACAAGACTGTACCAATTCTGATCAAATGTAACTGAAATATTTAGATCAAAAACACCCAAAATAAAGAACCATCGCATAGTGCAAAGTTACATATCGGTTTAATCAGACCCTGTATCTAATTGAAAACCGATGTTCAGGTTTCGATAAAAACCACCCTTTTTATCGACCGCTTTTTTATGTCTAAAAGAGAAAAATAAATTTTTGTTTATGTTCGTTACTGTGATGACACCACGGTAGACCTTAACTGAGAAAGTCAACAAATGCGTCACGTAAAAATGAAAATAAACATCTCAGTTGACGCTTATGCAAGTCCACATAACTTTTGCCCATCGGAGACCAATAAAGTATTTTATGTTTGAGGATATGAAAGGAAATAAACAAGTTTAAACAGTATAAACAATCAAATACGTAATGTTAAATATGGTATGCCGATAGATCAGTAAGCAGTAGGAATTTACAAAATTAATTTTAAATAGGTATCAAAGAGTGATATATTTTTTTTAATTTTGTTTTAAAATTTCTGAAAAATACCAGGTGGTAAATCCGATGGTGGTAAATACGATGATGTAAAATAACCCCAGCAACACTAGAAGAAGTCTTCCGTGAATTGGACTGGGCCAATAGGATTAAAAATAGATGGAGAATATTTTAACCATCTAAGATTCGCAATTGCCAGTAGTCCTGAAAAACGACAAGCACAAATTAAGGAACTAAATACAGCCAGCATTAAAGTAGGTCTCAAAATAAATTTAGCGAAGACTAAAGTAATGTACAACGTACAACGACCTAGTAAACAGAAAGGAATAAAAAGGGATTTTTCGAAATTCCAGTTCCAAGAGGGTGAAACCACCCCTCAACTATTTCAATATTTTTTATTTAAAAAACGGTCAAGTTCCCGAAAAAACGCTTAAACACTGTATTTTATTTTGTTTTCTTACATATTTTAAGATTTTTTAAAAATGTATACAGGGTGTTTCGAAAAATCTGGTCATTGGTTAATCACGATCCTGCTTAAAGCGCTTGACGTAAAAAGCTGATTTTTGGAAAACAGATTGACTTTAGGGTGTAGAGCTTCGATAAGAAGGGATTTTTCGGAACTCGAATTCTAAGGGGGTGAAACCACCCCTCAAATATTAAAATATTTTTTATTTTAAAACCGGTGAGTTTTTCGGAAAAACTCATAAACACGTATATTTTATTTTGTTGTTTTACATATTTTAAGATTTTTTATAAATTTATACAGGGTGTTTCATAAAATATGACCATTGAGTAATCACGATTCTGCTTAAACTGCTTGACGTTTAAAGCTGATTTTTGGCAAAAGAATTGACTGTGGGGTGTAGAGGTTTGATAAGGAGGGGTTTCTCGAATCTCAAATTCCGAGAGGGTGAAAACGCCCCTCAAATATTACAATATTTGTTATTTAAAAAACGGTTAGTCTTTCTGGAAAACGCTTGGACAAGCATTAACACATACCGTTTTTATTAAATAAAATAACTCGATTACATTTTTTCAGTTTTATACAGTTTTTTTCACAATATTTTGAAGTAATCACTTGTCATCTTGTCAATCAAATTTTAATATATTGCTATGCGTTCCAGTTGTACCAACTTATTTCTTTGTAAAATAAAATAAACTACTTTGAAATTAAAATGACAGACACATCTATCATTGTCATGGATCTTCTCGTTGTACAGACTATAATAATATCGCCATATTGTTTTTTCTCATGCTGACATAAATGTGAGAAAATTTTGCTTTGCTTTATCATCACCATTACAAATGATTAATTCGACACGAATGAAGTCGCGGGTACACGCTAGTACTTTATTTTTGACGAAAAAAATATCCATTGCTTTTTTGCATCTGATATAATCCTTGTGTATTATGTATTAAAAAAGTGAGGTATCCTCAGAAAATAAATCAGAATTCGATCAGAAAATAATTTGAACAAAATCTCAATATTCCATTTTTGTTTTTCTCAAGTCTTATGACCTTAAAAATACATGCAACCTTATACTGATAATTGAATACAACCGAACTATAAACTATGCAGTTATGGCAAGGCCATTAAAGGATTAACAAGTTAACACAAACAATTAGTTGGTTCTTTAAAAGTGACCAAACGCTCGTAAAAAGCGTTTCGAAGATGATTGATTTGACAGTTTACAGGCTTTTTATAGCGTCTTGACCGCGCGCAAACCGCGGGACTTTGTCAACTAATGAGTAATTGTTTCTGCGGTGGTACCGTAAAATCGATGAAAACGTTTTATTATGATTGGATAATATTCAAAATAATGAAACGATCAAATACGGTTATACTTTTTATTAGGTTGATTTTTCTCAAATGGATATTGATGAAAGAAACAAGAGGAGAGATGCTATGTGGCTTTAGTAATGC